ACCCCAAGTTCTACACAGGCCCAAAGGGGGACCCTGATGACATGTTTGCCTCGATCCTTTTGTAAGACAATCAGAGCAGAGCTGAGAAAACACTGACTGGTAACAAACGCAGAAATTCAGTCTACTCTTACGTTCATAGACAAAATACCCTTGTTCTCAACCGCAACACTGATATTCTTCCATTAACTGGACTTCTGGCAGCAACGAGTAAATCAGTACAGATATAAGGGGTCACTATTAACTAGAAGCACCACCTCCTGTAAGTAACTGACTCAGAAGCCACAGGGCTTCTATGATGCTGAATGCACATCAATATTCAGGTTGAAATTAACTTTCACCCACTCTCCATAGCCCTTGACAGATTTTTAGATCGGACCAGTAAGAAGTGCTTTCCGATTCAGGTCTGGTAAACTTTATGACAATACGGGGCACAGTTTCTAGCGATTATCTGTCCCTGTGGAAATTTATTACAGATCTAAAAAGATACTTTCTAAAAAGACTACTCCAAGAAAATCAGCTGTAGATTTACTAAAGTATGTAAGTATACTATACTAAAGTCTAGTAAATCTACAGCTGATTTTCTTGGCGTATCATTTATAATCCAAGAAGATGATTGCTCTTTAAATCTTTCCTTGGTTATTCAGACAAGCATTATGACCACCAACTTCAGTAAAAACTGCTTGAAGGTTTTTCTTTTTATAAACAGATTTTAGGCCTTGGGTACACGGCGGAATTTTAAAGACATGACAATATCCTTTTAGATAGCATAGTTAAAATAAAGTATAGCTGAAACTTAGAAATCTTTAAACCTGAATTGCATTTTTTAAATTTCAGAATATTACAGGGGTTCAAATGTTTTCGTTACATAAATTGTTTTTGTACCATTTAAGTCAAAGTTATAAGTGTGCCCATCACCCAGATGGTGTGCATTATACCTGTTAGGTGTGAATTTTCCCATCCATCTCCTCCCCGCTCCCACTTGCTTGATTTCCAATGAATGTCATTCCATATGTGCACATAAGTGTTGATCAATTAGCTCCAATTTAACAATGGGTACACGTGGTGTTTGTTTTTCCATTCTTGTGATACTTCACTTAGAAGAATGGTCTCCAGTTCCATCCAGGATGATACTAGCGGCATTAGTTCACCATTTCTTTTTTTAGGCTGAGTAGTACTCCATGGTATACATATACATTAATCCACTCATGTATTGATAGGCACTTGCGTTGTCTCCACATCTTTGCAACTGTGAATTGTACTGCTATAAACATCTGAGTGCAGGTGTCTTTTTTACAGAATGTCTTTTTTTTTTTCCTTTGAGTAAATACCCAGTAGTGGGCTTGCTGGATCAAATGGTAGTTTTACTTTTTAGTTCTCTGAGGTATCTCCATTCTACTTTCCATAGAGGTTGTACTAGTTTGCAGTCCCACCAGCAGGGTATGAGTGTTCCTATCTCTCTGCATCCACACCAGCATTTGTTGTTTTGGGACTTTTTGTTAAGAGCCATTCTCACTGGAGTTAGGTGGTATCTCATTACAGTTTTGATTTGCATTTCCCTGATGCTTAGAGATATTGAGCATTTTTTCCATATGTCTCTTGGCCATTAGTCTATCTTCTTTTGAAAAGTTTCTGTTCATGTCTTTGCCCACTTTTTAATGGGGTTACATGATTTTTTTTCTTGCTGATTTGCTTGGGTTCTTTGTAGATTCTGGTTATCAGCCCTTTATCAGATGTATGGCATGTAAATATTTTCTCCCATTCTGTAGATTGTCTGTTTGCTCTATTGATTGCTTCCTTGGCTGTGAAGAAGCTTTTCAATTTGATCAGGTCCCACTTATTCATTTTTGTTGTTGCTGTGATTGCTTTTGGGGTCTTCTTCATAATTTCTTTGCCTAGGCTGATATAAGAGATTTTCCAACATTTTCTTCTATATTTTTAAGTTAAAAGAATTTCTAGAAGAAAAGGAAAGTGACTAACCAAATATCTGATATGTGTTAGACACAGAATTATCTCATTTCCTCATCACAGAATTCTACCAGATTGCATTAGTTTTCTATTGCTGCTATAACAGATTATGATAAACTCAGTGGCTTAAAACACCATAAACTTGTTATCTTACATTTTCGTCGGTCAGTGGTCCAACACCAGGCTGAAATCAAAGTGTCGGCAGAGCTGTGCTCCTTCTGGAGACTCCAGAAGAGAGTCTGTTTCCTTGCCTTTTCCACCTTCTAGAAGCTGCCGGCGTTCTTGCTTCATGCTTCACGCAGGGTCCCTTCCTCCATGGTCAAAACCAGCAACATCACATCTCTCTGACCATCTATAGCCACATCTCCCTCCGACTCTGACCTCAGCCAGGAAAGATTGTGTTTTCCAGGACTCACGCTGTCAGGTGGGGCCACCCATTTAATCCAGGATCATCTTCCATCTCATGGTCCTTAACATTCGTCACAGGTGCAGAGTCCCTTTTCCCATGTACAGCAACGTATTCACAGGTTTCCAAGATCCCAGGTGTGGACATCTTTGCCATCTTCTGCCTCACAGATTATTTGTTCCCTTTTTATAAATGGAGGAACTCAAGAGTTCAATGTTACAGTACCAAGAGATGAAGGAGGCGGGATTCAAGTTATTTCTGGTATTCCAGAAAGTATGTAAGTCCCACTAAACTGGTTGCCTTTCTGTTTTAATAACCATTTTATTAAATCAGGGTAGTATGATGAAACATTTCTGAGAAAGCGTGCTGGAAGTCACTGCATTCCTTTTCCAGGGCTGCTGCAACCAATTACCATAAACGTGGCGGCTTCAAACAGCAGACACTTATTGTCTCACCATTCTGGAGGCCGGAAGTCAGAAATGGAGGTGTCGGGCAGGGCTGTGCCCCCTCTGAAGGCTCCGGGGGAGAATCACCCCTGGCCTCTTCTAGCTTCCGGTGGCTGCTGTCTTGGGCAGCATAACTCTACTCTCTGCCTCTTCCTTCACCTGGCCTTCCTCTTATAGAGACACCTGTCTTTGGTCTTAGGGCTCACCCTAAATCCAGGGCAATCTCATCTTGAGATCCTTAATTTACATCTGCAAAGACCTATTTCCAAATAAGCTCACAGTCTGAGGCTCTGGGTGGACGTGAATTTTGGAGGGACACTATTCAGCCCACTCGAGTAACACATAGGGAGCTTACAATAAACATACAAGTCTACCATAAAGTCGGCTGTGCGAGAGACACAAGATGACCTGCTATTGAAATGCTCACACTGGTAGCTGTGAAGATCACCTGCCTCCCTGTGTATCCTGCTGTCAGAGTGAACTTCAGCAAACATCACAGGAGACCTTGAGACCATCTTCTCTAACACGGGGAAAGATGAAGAGTAGAAATATAAAAACCCTTCGTCCATTTATTTCCATATTCCTTGCACCTAAATGTTTCCCTGTCCCCTGCCCCTCTCTCTGTCCATGTGACAGTTTAGCTGACACACAAGGAACAGAACAGCACCACCTCCCTATGATATCTATGAGATGGTTAAAGAATAACCATGGTATCTATTTTATTTTAATCTTCTGGCCTATTTTTGAAAAATTTTTTTGCTGGGAAAGTATTGTAATTCAAGCACAAAGATGAGCACGTATACTTAACGCTCTTGAAGGATGTTTGTTGCTGCTACTGTTCTTTATTTTAGGGGTGCTGGGAAGGCAGCTGCTTGGAGGGGGTTGATGTTAAACACGCCGGGTGCAGAGAAGTCCTGCGAACGTGGGGGTGCTTCACTGGGGATCTGCGGAAAGAACCTAGGGCTGCCCCTGAGATGTAAACCAAATTTTAGAATTTTATGCTCCTAAATATTTTGAGGCTCATATTTGCAGCCCTTTATAAAGCTTCTTCACATTCCTCATACTAACAAGGCAATCGAGTGCAAGAGTGAATAGTTAAGGAATGACATAGGGGTCCTGCAGACATGGGTTTGAATAAGACCTTGAGCAGGTTGTTTAACCAAACACACCTGGCCTCAGCTTCCTCACCTGTAAAATGCACAAATACAAACAGTCTCCAGTTTACAACGTCATCATGAGGATTAGGTAGACACTCAGCTGTGTGTTTTGCCATGTAATAACCCCTGACCCATGTTGGTTATTAGATTCTTACTAGACTGGCAAAGTAGGCAGGAAATAACCATATCCCCATGTGACAGCCTCAAAGAAGTCACGAGCACACACAACCAGTGTCACAGGGATGGGGACTTGAACACAAGTCAAACAACCGCAAATACCTGCTAATTCTCAGTGTAATTAAATTCCTGGCAGAATAAGGTATTTCATAATAGTTTTATCATTCTTCCAAACCATAATCCAAGCAGCAAATTATGTATGAGCTTTTTAAACCACCAGAACCATAGGAGAATTCATACTAGTTCTGAGCATAAAATTCCATCATGTTGGGGATGCAACTGTCCCCACAATCACAGGCACAATCTGTGAAAGCCAACGTTTAGAGCGCTGATGTTTCGAGTCTGCAAAAAGAGGGGAAGACTCAACAGAACGCAACCTAAATCGCAAATGTGCCCAATCCAGCCCTCTGCCTGTCTTTGAAAGTGAAGTTTTATTGGAACGTAGCCACTCTCACTCCTCGGTGTGTAGCTGTGACAGAGACCGCGTGGCCACAAAGCCTGAGCTGTCTACTAAGTGGCCCTTTACAGAAGAAGTTTGCCAACCTGTTAAAACAGAAGATATATAATGGTGGGAAGGGGGGGGTGCACCTGAAAATATCTTAAAATGCCTAATTTTATTCCTAGAGTTCTTAGTACCATCAGTCCCATGAAAAAGGGGTGTTGTCTTTTTCGTGAAGTCGCAGGGGAGCCAAATCCCCCCAGAATGAAATGAACAGCAGAACCTTAAAGCAGGGCGGTATCCCACCCAGTTTCAGATCTGATGCATGGCCACCTTCGTCTCCATGGCCCCAATATCTTTATCTGCCCTAGGTATGAAATTTTGCACATTTACAGACATGAAAGACTCACTCGGATTTTCTCCTCTCCCAGCGTGGGTGCTGGGCTAGGTCCCTGCCGCAGTTCCTCTCCTCCTGTCGCCGTCTTGCAGATGTTCTGAGCCTCCCGGTTATCTGGGGCTTGTAGACCCTGGTACTGCGATTTCGTTTTTAAGCTATTGGTGAATTCTTCAGACCGGGTTTTTCTGAAGAGAAACAAAAGTGGAATCATCACTAACATTCTTCAACCGGGACAGCTTTTCCAAAGCAGATGTCGACCTTCAACATATGTGGAAAACAGAAACAGATACCATTTACCCAGGGCTTATGATAGGCTGGGCCCTTTGCTAGGTACTTTAGTGACAAGACCTCAATCCTCATAACCACCTACGAGAAAAACCCTGCTATCCTCACTGTGTTATAAGAGCCTCAAAGAAATGTTATAATATCTCCAAGACCACATTGTGGCACAGCCAAGACTTCAACACAGGTCTGCCCAGCTCCCAGTTTGGAAGCTAAACTGCTAGAGCACACTGCCTCCTTTTGATCGGTCAGCAAATCGCCCCTTTATCATCTGTCCAGATGCAGTTTTAAAGTCACAGGCGTTGCTGGGCAGCATCGCCAGCCCTTGGAAGTCCACTACGCAGCAGAGCCTGCTCCCATCACCAGCCCTCGGGAACTGAACCCAGGTCCTCCTGTCCACCCTGATGGCTACTTGACCAGCTCAGAGTAGGGCTGGCACCACCACTGCCCAGAGCCAGAGGAGGATCCCAAGGGACAGCAAGCTTCACAGAGGCCACCCCAGGCACCATCCAGCAGTGGGGTGCCATCACCTGCCTCAGTTTCCCTATGTCTCCAGTTGATTATGTCACTTCCCTTTCCAAAAACCTCCTCGCTGCCCACAGAATAAGGTCCACACTCCTACACCTGGCCTTCAAGACACTTTAGAACATGGCCCGTGTCTTCCGCCACTTGCCTAAGTGTACCCCAAATGCTCAGAAGACCCCACCATTCCCCAAAGGACCACCCATAGTCAAGTCTAGGGGTCTCGATTATGCCCACTGCCTACACTTTCCTTCCTGACCTTCTGTAGCTGGAAAACTACTTATCTTTCAAGGTTCCGTTCAGATTTCACCTGTTCTGTGGATCAAAATGATAGACTCCTACCTGCGCTTGGTTAGCTCTGTGTTTATCCCTTACTTACAGCACAAATCACAGCCCGCATGGGCTGCAGCTAGTTGTGTATCTGCCTGTTGCCCTTCCTAGACTGGAAGCTCCTTGTTCATTTCTGACTTCCCACAGCGCCTATTTGTTCAGCTACCCATATCTGAGCAACCTTTTCTTCTTAGAAGGTCCGAAGCTTGAGCAGCGATTGCATTTCTCACATACACTCCTGACACTCAGCTGTGTTGGCCTGTGTTGCTCTAACACGATTCCAGGAAAGCCAATGATGACGGATGGGAAATTTGCATACTCATATCAAATCTGATCACAAATCAAAACTAGAAGGACACACAGCAAAACGAAGCAGCTAATCTCACAGCATTGTGGGAATGAAGGTCTTTAGGACCAAAAGTCTAAAGAAATTTGCAGAGAGATCCAAAATAATTTCGTGACCCTCAAAGCCCACCCCACTCTCCCACCAGATACTGTGAGCAGCAGGCATCTTTTGCAGTGTTTTCTAAAGTGTGGAGAGTTTTTAACGTCTCTCGCTGGTTTGCAGATCTCATACCTGAGCTCTTCAGCCTCCTGCTCCGCTTTCAGCCGGGCCCGCTCAGCACTGATTTCATTACAGAGCACATCGTAGGGTTTGTCGAGATGGTGTTCGCCCATCACCCACACCCACACTTCCTTATCAGCTCCCAGCTTCCAATGGACAGATTTGCCATTTTCTGCAAACAAAAAAAAATTCAGATCGAACAGATACCTTTAGTCACAGAGTATGAGGTTCCCCATCACTCAAGTATTTAAGGTCTCTGGGAAAAAAAAAATATTAGATGAGGCTAAGCACTTCCAACCTGCTTAGGAACAGGCAGCATCCATAGGTAGCAATGGTACTGGTGGCAGCAGGTGGCAGCTGCAACAAGAGTATGTGTTTAAAAAATATTATGGGTATGGTTTTCACATGTGCCTATTTTGTAAAGGAAGAAATTGAGATGGGAAGAAGTGTTCATTATTTTTAGTTTTCTTTAGGGTCACTGGGCTAGCATCAGACTCCATAACCTCTTAAGTCTAAGACTCTCCCTGTAACCCAAAATTGCACAACTACCTGAGGATTTGGTGTTTCCATTATCTTCCATGGCTTTGTGGATGGGTAAAAAGCATGCATTTTAGAGTTAGACCGGCTTGGGTTCAAATGCTAGCCCTGCCACTTACGAACTATGTGACTTGGGCAAATTATTTAATCTCTTTAAGACTAAATTCCCTCATGTGCAAAATGGGACATACATACACACTACACAGGACATAGGACCACACAGGACTGCCCTGCAGAGCAGGCAGGTGCTACTATGCCAAGTGCTCCCTGGTGCCTGCCACATAACCGAGTTCGATAGAGGTTAACTGCTATCATGGCCACCCTGTTATTTACTTACATGGCTGCCTCAGAGATTCACACCAGCTTGTGAGAAGATACTACCACCAGGTAGCGTGATACCTGGTGAAGCCACTTAAATAACCCTTGTTTACAATCGGTCTCGCAGGTCGGGTTACACTCTAGAGCTCCTGAAATGCGAGCACACGGGCCACGCGCTCTGCAACCCCAGGCGGGTGCGGTACACCTAGCAGAGACCAAGAGGGACAGTCCCTGAATATGTCAGACTCACTTAGGGCCACTGTGGTCCAAAGTTAGTCCAGCCGAGACCCCAAACTAGCCAGTGGTGCTGAGTGTGTGGAACAGGGCGTCTGACCAGTGGCTGTGCTGGGCCGTGCTTCAAGGGTGAGACAGCCACACGGGGACTGTCTCTTGGCTTCTTACACTACGTATAAGACGGTTTCCAATTAAAGTGTCTTCTGTCCAATGTACTGGGGGCCTTCTGCATACCGTGCCCTCTGGATACCTTACAAAAGCAGGCTGCCCAAAGCCAGGCCTGTGCTTTCTACTCTTCCCACTGCAAGGGATGCTTCTGCAGTATACTCGAGTTCTGGACAGAGACACTGGGGGTGGGAAGGGCAACAGTTTCATAGTCTGCACTACAAAAGGATTCAAATTTACTGTTTTCGCAAACAGAGAAACAGCGAGACTGGCCCCTGGTAAGGACAGGACGGACCCAGCGTGCCCGAGTGGGGCCGAGCCCCAGTGTGGCCTTGGCGAGCTCTTATTCTGTTCGAGGCTGTGCCAAACAGTTCATTAACTTTAGAAAGCTGTCATACCTCATAAAACTCCCCTTATTACATTCTTCCAGGGCAACTAATAATATTTTTATCATGTCCATCTCTCAGCCTTCACCTAAGTAGGTCTCTACCGATATTTTTTTGACAGCAGGAAGACGATGCCCAGAGAGGGTGGTGGCAGAGGGCCAGGGGAGGTGCAGCGGAAGGAGGGAGACTCCAGCGGCTCGGCCAGGACAGCCCAAGGCACAGTCCCCAGGGAGCACTGCAGGCTGCAGGTGGCCACGAGGATGAGAGGAATCCTAGGAGTGCCTGTGAACAGAGCAGGAGGCTTAGAAACTGCAAGGAGGGAAGAGGGCAAAAAGGGGAGCAGTGCGAGCACGGTGAAGATAAAGAAATAGTGGCTCTTGGGCAAGAAGAAAATCAAATGCAAACGTCAGATTTAGCCAGATGCTCAAAACCAGGCTCTTGGCAGAGTGGCACTGACAGTAAGCTCTGTCCTGATCACTCCTGACCTCTAAGAGCTCTTTGATGGGGTCACAAAGCAAGGCTATTGGAGGAGCTTCCAGTGGCTCCCTGAAATCGCAGGACGGCGGGGAAATCAGTCTAGCATAAGGCGTGTGAGCTCTGACACCCTCGGCTTCACACCCAGATGAGGGGCTGACCGCCAAGCCCCTCACTGCGGTTCATTCTACGCAGTGCAATTGAGTTTCTACTATGAACAAGATGTACAGCCAGACGCTGTAGGTGACACAGGGGTGAAAGAGATGCGCCCATTCTCTTGCAAGTGACCTAGAGTCCATGAGAGAAAGAGCAAGGCAGTATTTTATTTATTTAATGAATTTCATCACACATCTACCATGTACCAGGCACTGAGAGAGACTCAGGTGAACACTTAGGACAGCTCAGTTCCTGGCCTTGGGAACTGACATTCTAGGTGTAGGAGGCAGGCAATGAACAGCCAAGTGTAAAAGTAATATGGCTTGAATGCGGGGAGGCGGGTGGAGTTAAAGGATGTTCTGGGATGTTTAGGAAGAGGAACTAACCCAGTGTGGCCCCTGGAGGGGCCAGAGGGACATACATTATAACCAGCATTGATTTTCCATTCAGTCCAGTGGGGATTCAGAGGATGGAGAAATTACTTTGGAAAGACAGAGAAGAAATAAGGAAAGTTCTTTGTGTTGAGCATTAGAGGATGGATATGGAATTTAGACAGAGAGTGGGGATGGGTTTGATGCTTGATTCACGGAACGTTATGACCAAAGATCAGAGAAGGGGATCAACATGGGATTCTGGGGAACAGGGAGTCAGGGTGTCGGCCAGAGCTGAGCGGTGCGCTGGAAGTCACCTGGACATGCCTGGCATGGGCTGAAGACCATGCAGGGGACCAGGGTGCCCCATGGCACAGGGTTCCACACACGTGGCTAAGGGATTTCAGTTTAGCTCTGTACTGCCACTGAGCTGGAAAGCTGTATTAAAATCCTAGTTTTCCCACTAACTAGGTATGTGACCATGCAGACATCACTTTATGTTTCTGAGCCTTAATTCCCTCTGCAATAAACAGATGTGCTAAAGTCCTACCTACATGACAAACGCTCAGAAAGTGTTAGCTCCATGTCCTTTATCTAAGTGGCCAGTGAAGATCCCATGGATATTGTGAGCAGGTAGCACTAGGATCAGGAAGATGATTCAGGAAGCTCTATGACACAGCAGCATGCAGGCTGGACCAGGGTGGCATGCGTGGGTGGTTCAGTGTCTGGGACAAGAATGGGGACAGACTAGGGGTGAAAAGGCCAGGTGTGTGGTGGCCAGGTCCTATGCCAGGCAGCAGTATAAGGAAGGGCAGTGTCAGAAAAGACAGTAAGGTTCAGGTGGCTGAACGCAAGGAAGTGCTCAAAGATGACACGAAACATTTGAAACTCGCTAAATGGGAAGGATAGTGGGGTGACAGGCAGGAACAGTGACATCAAGAAAATGTGTTTGAGGCATAAGGTAATGAGCTGCTTTGGAAATGTAGAATCAATTATTTTTACTTTTGCTAGAACTTCCACATGGAGATTTTTCTGTAGATACCTGGACTACAGGGCCGTAGTTCAGAAGTGAGGTCATGATTGACAGCGTGGGTTTGGGAATCACTTTACAGATGTCATTGTTGAAGCCACTGGCACAGATGAGTTCCCAGACAGAATGCAGCCAAGAAAAGAACCTTGGAAAAGCATGTGCTTCCTTCAGGAGGCAGAAGAGAGGGGAGGAGAAAAGAGTCCCGATTAACAATAAATAAATGAAAAAGACAGAAGATTCCGATGCCCGAAATAACTAATGGAGGACGACACTGGGCAAATGCACCTCCCTGTGGCCCAGAGCAGAAGGGGAACCGGCTGTTGCTCGGATGACAGGGAAGGACGCTACAGACTGAGAAAGACCTCGGGCAGCCTCAGATTTCACAGGAGTCGTTTTAGGGAGACAGGTAGGGGACAGGTGCCGAAGGCGGAAAGAAAAGGAGGGCGAGATCCGGAGCCGACAGTAAGTACGTGCTCTGGGGCTTATTCGTGAGGAGGAAAAAGATGATTCAGTCATTTGCTCAGCAAACATTTACCGAGCGTCTGCTACGTTCCAGGCGTGGCTCGATAGGCCTAAGTGACAGGCAGGGCAGTTGAAGAGCTCAGATGGTTGACAGATGCCTTTATATGGGGAAACGTGAGCACGGCTTATATCACAGTTGGGCTGTCAGAAGGGGACACAGTAAGGACCCCAGGGGATGATGGACAGACAGAGGCGCAGAGAACAGGTGAAGAAGAAAGTGTTGACAAGGAGATAAGAAAAGCTCCAGCCTGGGAAGCGAAAGGTTGAACGTGGAGATGGACAGAACCACGCTTCTGTGCCCAGCGCACCTCCTCAAGGTAAGGACATAAGCTCAGGGAATCCTACAGGGCACGCGCCGTATCTTTCCGTGCTTTAGTACGGTCCAGGCATTCTGGATTTTCTGTCGGCCTCACCTTGAAATTACATGCACTCTTTAATCAGAGGACAGTGCGGGCGGGACCTTTTCGTGGCACTTCCATTTAATTATAAGGTTTTACTTCCCAGTCCTTGAATCACGTCTGTACTCTGCAGCACTGCTCACGTTGGCTATCTTAGGGATCCTTGAAAAGTTCTAAAACCAACTTTTCTAGAAAAGTGGGTCAGTCCTGCTTGGTACTGCACGACAAAGAACTGCTGAGTAGAGACACATGTCCCTGCCTCATTACGCAGAGAAATGTCCTCTCAGTTCTGCAGTAATTCCTCACCTGGGGCCACCTATAACGAAGGCAGTGTTTGAAAAACGTCACATACAAATGGAGTGACACACATCTCTGGCAAGGAAATGGCCAGGCTCATCTGAGTCTTGGATTGCAGCGTGACACAGCTCACAACACTGTTGTGTCCTGTTTATCCCCATGGGGCACGTCCAATGGAGGAGGGGGAGGGAGAGAGCAGGTGGGTCATCTCCTCAGGTGAGGGGAATGTCTGTGTGTCAGGGAGTCAGCACCTGGTGTCCGTCCCAATGGGATCCAACTCAGAA